ATTACAAAAGCAATATCGTGATTGTTACATGGAAGTTTTCTCCAAAAGTTCATAAAATGTTAGCTATATTTATGATTACGAAGTACAGTCGTCGTATTGTACATCAATGTACACAATTTTTTCGATTAAATACTATACATTTTTCGCTATAATTTTGTATTGGCTACTAACAATTCAAAAATTTCGTTAAACGCTATGTTCTTGTTGCGTTTATTTATGCTTTGCTACATTTCTTTTAAATATTTTTAATATATTATAAAAATGTCATTTCCTCTCAGAAAATGTTAATAGATTTCCTAGGAGGCATTTAATAGAAAATAGTTTTTTTTGTAGCAATCTAATGATTTTATATTAAAAATTAAAATAAAAAAATCTAATAAAAATCTAATTTGCATTATTATAATAAACACTTTTCTAAAAACACTTTTCTATTGCTATAAATTAGACGGCAGTAACAGAAATGTCTCGCGCTTGTCGCATAAACATGTCGCGATTGTCGAGTAGACGTAGAATTTGCTATCAATATTTATAAATGTTCATGAAAATACTTTACCGATCCGATTGCACTAACATTTTATTGTAATTTTTTTTTATTTTTGATAATCTATTCTTTAATAAGAAGGATCGAAATTATATCAACAATTATATTAACAATAATTTATTCTTTTATTTTTAAAGAATTTTTAAGGTTATCATATTTTTTCAGTGATTAGAATTTTCTTTGCAAAAAAATGCTATAAGAAAAAAAAATGAATTTAATGCATCGAAATCATGATATATTATTTTTTTAATTTGAATTAGAAAATAAGCAAAAAATTGCCAATTAAAATTACCAATTATGAATTAGACTTCAAGGAATTGATGCAATCGATTTAATATTGTATCGCGTATCTATAGTCGCACCATAACATTTCCAGCTGCTCTTCATCAATACACTAGACACAGATGGCTCCTCCGCACGCTTGCTCGGATTTAATTGACGAATCCGATTCCGAAAAAGATCCGTAAAAGGGCCTTTTCCGACAACAGCAGAACCGATCAAACAATTCTGTTAAATCACTCCTCTCGGAATCATCCCTGAAAATACCGCTTGATGCCTCGTCTGTACATGGGGCTATGAATGTTTGCAAGTCGTTTTTCGGAAAACCTTCGCGATAATAGATCTTGATTGTATCGTATGCATCCATTATCACAGAAATGAACAAACTTAAGACGACATAAATGTACAATGAAATAAAGGAATATAAATAAATTCTAGAATACCACCATAACACAGCCGATTTGGAAGACGTAATGGAAAATGTGGCGAACATATCATCGCCATTGATTAATGCGAATAAACACTCGGAAGTGGTTGCAAGAGAACGAAATTTCATATTATATGGTCCGAGCACCAGCCAGCCGCAAAATGTGAAACCGGCGTAAATGAGAATTGCGCATATTAAGAATCTTGCCACTTTTGGTGTTGCTTTCTTTAAAGTTAGAATGACAACGTTGTATGTTTTGAAGAAGCCGAGATAACGTAATACGCCGAACCACACGAGTAAATTTCCTGTTCCGAGAAATATACTGCAAATATTCCAATGATCACTCTCGGAGTGCTTTCGTTCAATTTGTTCTTTTATGATAGTACCAATGATGATAAGCAGATCATTAACGATGATCATGATATACCAAAGGTTTAAGAATTCTAATCGGCCTTCGAGGCTTAACGCTGTACCGTATGTCTTCTTGAAGAAGTTAATAGTCTCGTACTTCAGTATTTGTGCTCTATATATCGCCCGCGAGCACAATAGTAGAGAAATCGCACAGATCAGTATAACAAGCAAATTTAACAGAGTTCTCAACGCCGATTCGATACGATTATCCGTGATGTAACGAGTGTCACCTTTGCATTGTAACTTTCGAGCATCAGCGTCTAACGAGAGCAGCATCTGTCCATCGAAATCGCGATTATCAAAGATGATCTTGATGTTGAAACGGTAACAATCAGGTGGTGTCATTGGTCCAGCCGCTTTCAGATTTATCGTCTTCAGAGCAAACTTAAGATGAGCGCGTACCAGAGCGGAGAAATTGACATTAATATTTCTATCCTGCAGAAAATTGTGCGACGAATTAAATGTGTTGAAGGTCTCGAGACTGATGTTCATGCATGTTTCTACAATCTCGTTATCAAACACATAGCTCTCATTAAAGCCAAAAATGATACCCTCCTTATACTGATAAAGACACAAGATTACAGGTACGACCGAATTGTCTTCAGCGATATAGGAATACGAGCCAATTGCATTATCGACGTTGTAATAACCATGCAGAGCGTAATCAATGGCGTCATAGAAATCGCTTCGTTTATAGATAGCCAATGGTCCTGATGCAGGTGGATATGTTGGTACCTAAAGTATCATACATATATTATAATATATCTAATATCCATTATAAATAAAATATAAAAAAATGATGAAAATATAGAGTGATCATTTAATAAAAATTTTTTTCTAAACTTATTTTGAGTAATATAATGATGTGAAATACTACGATTGAAATATCTTTTCATTTTTTAGATAGCATTGAAAAATAAAAGCTTCATATAGATCTATAACTATATAAGCAAAATGCAATCAAATTACATACCTCTTGAACAGAATCCCATCCCATCAAAAAAAGATGGGAGAAAGTGACTCGATTATCCCAAGTATAATTTACATGCATATAATTGTTGTGTGCAAACAAACAGAGCTGTACGGTCACAAGGATGATCTTGATGACTTGAACAACAAACTTGTAGGGAAAGCGTCGTTTTGCTTGCCACTTTTCGATCGGATTCATGAAGAAGAATCGTAATTTGCGACGCATTTTCTCTTCTGCAAATGATGTGACTGGGCAAGTCTTGCATTCTATTGGAGTGGAATAATTTCGCCTACTACACACAACATACATTTTTATTATTTTATAGTATTTCCATAGAATTTCTTATATGTAATTAGAGCGCTGATTATATTATATCACATTATATTATATCACAAGTATGTATATCAAAATTCTGTTATAATAAATATTAAAAAATATAAAATTTTTTTATAATAGGATATAAGAATCTTTGTTAAAAATCAAATCATTTTACTGTAATTATTAATCTATAAATTATGTATTAGTAATCTTCATATAATCTTCATATAATATCACATATCAGTTTTATTTATGTTAATATATTATGTCATTAAGTTTTTTAATTAATTATTTTTTCTTCTTACATTTTTACCAAGGATATTGCAAAAATAATTTTGATCTATTTTATTCGTTACCGAGATAATTCAATCGATTGTATACACAAGTTATTCTTTTATTGTAGTTGTGCTTTTGATTAGAATATCTAGTTTGTGATAATGACGACATTGCCGAGTATGGTAAGCATGATATTACTTGAAAATGTGATAACATGTAATTCAGGCTCTCAAAGATTATAGGTATTCACGTAGCCAAAACATGGTAAAACACATGTTAATCATTTTAGATAATGACTTTTCGTTAATTTATCATGAGTTACCTTTCTAAATTAAAAAAAAAAACCACAATGCCTTCTAGTATCTATCTTATCTGTGAAAATGCTTCGACTAATCAATTAGAAGCAAAAATAAGTGGCATAAAGATAGTAATTATTAATTAATAATATTGTAACATCTATTATATTAATGCATATAAATGCGACTTGTTTAAAATGTTTAATATATTTATGTATAATTTAATAAAAATGTAATAAATATAACAAAAATTTATACAATGTCAAATATGTATTATATTCAATAGCAATATTTATTCTTTCAATATAATTGTTATCAATAATATTACATATAAAAAATGATATAATAAATAAAATTAAAATAATATATCTTTTATACATATATAACATATATATACAAAAAATAATAGAATTAAAATAGAATTAAAAATATTAATTTATATTTATATTTTCAATTGATAATTTTATCACGAGATAAACATAACTTTTACATTGTTCTTTTTTTAGTATGCAATCACGAGTTGGCGATGATTTTTTCCGAGTTATTGTCTAGGAATTATTGAGATATTCGTTTACCATCTTACCATCTTGCATTTGAAATGTATCAAATAATACATTAACAATTGAACGATATAACGTTATCAATTCTGTAGCGGAGCAGCACTCATTCAATTGAAGCAAAACAAAGAGATGCAATACTGAATTTTTTTATATACGCCATCGACCTAATTGTCGACGTCATTTAATAGTGCTCATGATAACTGCTCCGACGAACATAATTATATTAATCTTTGGTGAATAACTTTGATAAACGTTATACGAACCTCTGTTCGCTGGTTTCATTCAGCAATGTGTTTTCACTGGCACCTTCCTCTTCTTCGCTGTCATTGCCGTGGCTCCAGGTGCGATTCTGCAATCTGTTCCCCACCGAGTCATCGGACCCTTGTTGTACTCTTTTGCGTGCGCTCGTCATTCTCTGGGATTTCGAGATACGACAATCGAAAAGACGATAAGCGAGCACACGTGCAAGTGTCAACAAGCGTTTTAGCCTGCCGAGTCGTTGTCGTCACTCCGCTCTCCGACTGGTGATGAAATATCCAGCTGCTCACATGCATGGATAATTTAGCGAGATGAGTATCATATTGCGACACAGTATCGACGTTCTCAATATTGATAAGTTAAAATATCTGAGGGAGACGCGTAATTAACAACAAACGTAACGATGTCGAATTATTATCCATCGCACGCCATCCAACCCGATACAACGACCGAATCCGACTACGCTCACTCGAATAAAAGACATCGTGTCTCGAGGTGGCGCCACTGATGGGCTGCGGAAGAGAAGGGAAGGGAAAGCAATGGAAGGGAGAGATGATGTCGAGGATGTGACGCATTTGCATTTCTCGTTCTTCCGTTGAATTTAAACTGCTCACAATTCGAGGAATCAATCAGATCGCAATGATTAATTAAAAATAATATCGTTTCTTTTATCTCTTTATCCAGTCTTTTTTTCTCTTTTTCTCTCTTTCTCGGACCAATTATCGTGGCTGAAAATGTTGGTCCAAATAAAAACTTCAATATAAATGCAATAATTATTTTTAATAATATTAATTACAATATTGCATTTTAATATAAATATCACTTTAATTTGATGTTACAGGTGAAAAATTATAATTTTGTTGCGTACTCTTGCGCGCGCGCGCGCGCGCGCGTGTGTGTGTGTGTGTGTGTGTGTGAATTAAATTACATTTTATTTCTGTAATCTTAGTATACTCAATAGTAATGTATAAATATAAATATATATGTAAACAAATAAGGATCTAATTTTTTAATTATGTATAATATGTCGTTTATTTTGCTACATTGTTTAATAATTAATTCAATAACATTATTTAATAATTAAATTTAATAAAAAATTTATTTTAATATATATATATATATATTATTTTATTCTTTTGTAAATAATATTTTCTTATAAATTATCCTGATAATGTTAAATCTCGAAATTGTAGTACTTTCTTCATGTAAATAAAGCAATATACTATATATCTTTGTAATTATCAGAATTTCTGGAGTAATAAAAATTAAAAATTAAATTTTGTTTGAATATGCGTAATTTTATGAAAGAAGGAAAACAATGATATATTAATTTTTTTAACAAACTTATACATATCTCTGAAAAGAATATAATTAAAATGTTCGATTTATTAAACTCTTTTTATTTATAAAAACACATATTTTTAGTAAATTGATCATTTTTAGCTAAAACTGTATTTTTCATATTAAAATCTATCATGTTTTTTCCAATTCCATTTTAATTAAAAAATAAAAATTTTGAAAAATTTCTTTGCAACAATAAATATTTTTAGAAATGATAATACAGAGTAGATAAATGATCTTGGCTAGATAAAGAACTTCTCATTCTTAGCTAACTATTGCACTTGCAGAGACTTGATTGGAGCAACATAAAAGCTTGCGCATTGCAGTTTAGTGTTGAATTCAATACAGTCTTCTCTGTGATGTCATCATATAGTATTTGCGCGGGTCATTTAATTGCTTATAATATTATGTTTTTAATAATATTATTTAATATTAATATTATATATAACATGGCTTATTTTATTTTTATTTTTTAATGCAGTTATAAACTTTCATAAACACAGTCATTATGATTTTAAATAATAAAGCGTTATTTAAATATTACTTAAAAATATTATTAATATTACTTAAAAACGAAATATTTGCAAATATATTTGATTCGATATTTTAGCGAAGACATACATACGTAGTGCTTTAATTTTCTATTCCAATTTTATTTATAGTGCTTCTTTTATTTTCAGTTTAATCTATTTCGCAGTCAGTGAATTGCGCAAATTAATTACATACAAAAGAATATTATCTTTTAGTAACTAATTTCATTTAGAGTTGTAACTATATGGCTTTGAATGAATTTAAGAAGGCACTAAGTTATAAGAAAAGTATTACATTCGTTTTTATATATAAAATGTTGAAATTTCTTTCAAAAAGATTTAATGAAGTGATCCATTTCTCATTAGAATCTAATTTCATCAAGTTGCATCATAGATATTTTTAAACGTAACATAATACATTTCTTAGAAATTTATACTCAATGTGTAATATATAGACATTGATATATACAAATTTTAAGAAATATTTTTTATTATACAATAAAGCAAAATAACATAAATACAAAAAGTTATGTTTACGTATATCATAATGTTATTATATATATGTGCATGCAATTTTTTAAGAATTTCTATCTATTTATTTTTATCTCATTTGAGATAGATATTATATTTGTAAAAAAATTTCAATTTGATGAAAAACAATTTCTTAATAAATATCTAGAATCAAAAAACAATAAATATATAAAAAGAAATGCTTATACATATTAATTAATATAATTAATACTTACAATATATACTTACAATATATACTTTTTAATATTTTTAATATTAATTTAGTTCAATTATAAATACTAATTAAAGTACTAATTTAGAAGTTATTATGTTTAATTTTATATTTTATATCGCAGTATATTTTTTCTGATATATTGATATGAGACTTGTAAAAGCAATAAAAATTGATTTTTATAATGACGTATATCAATTTCAAGAATTACAATTTAGCTTAAAGTTAAAGAATTTGCAAGTATAACAAGGTTGAATATGATTTTTTATTTCATGAGAACTGAATCATCATGAGAGAGAAATACATAAGATGTTTTTATAATTATTACACTTATTAACATAGATTATCCTGTTCAATTTTAATGACTTACATTTGTTTAATTTAATTTGTTTAATTCTACATTCTTCTAAAAACTGAAATTAATATATTTTTTCAACATGTAAAAAAATAAATTCGAATTTACAATCAATATCGGATAAGAAACATATTTTTATATAATAAAATCTTTATTGTAGTAAATTAATTATTCATTATAATAAATTATTTATATTGTATTAATATTGTATTTGAAGAGTAGCAACTAGAATAAAATAAATATACACTTACGTCAATATACAGCTGTGATAACGTTAATCATTTTGCATTGATACTGTTATGTGTTCAATATCTGTAGATATCGAACGCGACGAGAGATACAATGCAATATGAGTATGTTATAATGGAAACGAAATATCGATCCATTGAAATTTGCCAACAAAGATATATTCGGCTCTACAGAGTGCACATTGAATTTTTTATCATATTCGTAGTTTGTGATTCCCTTTCCGGAAAAAAATGTATGTAGAATTACGTATCTCACGATTCGGGTGAAATTCAAGCTGTGACTTATGTGCGTAGGTCAGTTCACGTCAGCCTCCAGAGTACGACGAAATAAATTAGAATAATCTGGATTATTGAATCCCAGAATTCGGCGAAGCATTCTGAAAATTCTGTTAGTGCGAGTCGCAAAATATTCAGGATTCGCGTGATCGAGATGGAGTGGAGTTTGCCACTCCAGAATGAGCTCGAGGTAAGCGCACCCTAGAGGAGTCCTGATCGTGACACGCAGCCTCTTCCGAGGGCGAGAATCGAATGGTGATTCCTGGGGGGGTGCGCGCGCGTTGTCGTGCGATATTGGTGGCTGCGCGTTGACACGACGCGCGTTCTCGCTGCGCCGGCAGCGCAGCATTACAGCCGCGTTACCCTCGCGATACGGAAGAGCGAGCGGAGAGTGCGTCCTGACGCGCGCGCCAACCACCTAGAAAGCGCGCAGCCAAGAGCGAGTCAAGCTCCGGTCTTCGTCGTCGCTCCGACGTGGACGTGGTCTGTTGCTCCTCATCATCACGATTACACTTCCGCGATCTAGCGAGCGTCAACTCGTGCGCGAGTAACAGCGAATCGAAGCACGACCAGGATTTCATCAGCCCGGCTTTTCAGCGAGCATCGCTGAAAGTGTCGTCACGTGCGAGTACCAATTGGGCAATTTGGATCTAGCAACAGTCAGTTCCTTCTCGTTGCTCAAAAGTCCTCGAGAACACTTTTCTTCCATGTTAGTGTGTTGCGATTGACTCTGGGATTTTCTAGGTCGTCGACCTGTGGTCTTCCTACCTCTCGTGGTCCTGCGCCAGTGCCGTGTAACATTTTACTGAGCGAAGTGCAGTTCCGTGTCGTGATTCTTTGTCGTCTTTAATCCTCCGTGAGAATTTCTCAGCTGTGAGTTCTCCGCTCGTGGTATCTCTGATCGTTCCGCCAGCGTCGCCGAGTCATTCCGTCGGTCCACGCGACCAGCTGCTACTATCTCTATCTGTCTCTCTCTCTCTCTCTCTCTCTCTCTCTCTCTCTCTCTCATATCGCGTCAGCATGGGGGACCAGGAGCAACAGGAAGCGATGCCAAGCGTGGTAGAGTTGAACGTGGGCGGCGTCTTCTACACCACTGCTTTGACTACGTTGACTCGCGAGAACGATTCGCATCTGGCGGCACTTTTCACTGGCAAATCCGCTGTGGAGAAAGATGCCAAAGGCAAATACTTCCTGGACCGTGACGGCGTGCTTTTCCGTTACGTATTGGACT